TGGGCATTTGTGCCCATCATTATTACAGCTGATGTTTTTCTGGCTTCATTCACTGCTTGCTAATGCTGGGACTCAACATCTATTGTTGCTCTCATGCATATTTCGGGAGTTGAACTGCTTCTGTCCTGCTCTCAATACCTTTTTGTCTGCGGTATCTATAGTCAGACTTCACCTATTTGATTTGCAGGCTGTTTGTAAATATGGGTATGTTCTGTAGAAGAGTTATCCCTGTAGGTCCTGACAGCCTTGCATGACATAAATATTGATATTTTCATTTCCTGTTCTTTTGGTGGTAAAGAGCTCTAGCTTCTATCCAAGTTATGAAAAACATATACATATATTGAGGACACTGGTATCTTTGTGAGGAAGGATCCAAGAAGTAATGTTTATGGGACCTTGTAAAGAGGCTGCTGTTACATGGTTAATGAGCCTTGACGCATGCAGTCCTTTCTTCTGATTGAAAGGATTTCTGAATGGCACCAGTAAAATTGCTGCCCTATAAACTGGAAAATCCCTGTCGGTAGTTTTCTGGTTTTGATAAAACACTAAATCTAGGGTGCCATTTTCTGAGCATGCTGCCTAAATCTCCCTCTTGTAGGGATTGTACTCTCTCCTCAACCTGACCACAGCTCCATACAAGGATCTCAATAGAGGATTTTTGGCTGTAAAATTTCCTGACCACAGGTTTATTCTGTTACTGTCTTGGAGGTATTTTGCTACTTAACTGGTGTCCTCAAATTATCGATGATGTTTTTTAGAAGCATAGTGCATCTCATGTATTGTCTAGACTGGTATATGGCATTTCTAAGACGTTGTGGTATTTGATTTGTAGCTTATCAGAATAAGGAGATAGGAAGTAAAAGTGTTGATTAAACATTTATGATTGTATTTCTGAGCTAATATCTCTACCAAGTAGAGCAGTGAAGGGCTAATCTTGACCTGAATGTTACTAACGTAGTATCTGATGCTATGAGTATTGGCACATCTTACAAATTGTTTGATGCTTGCCACTTTAATGTGCTTTCTCTTCTCTGCCAAATAATGGCTTCCAAATGCTTAACAGTCAGTTTTTTGTTGTAGGTTTTTTTAAACTGTTTTTTTTTTTTCATCCTCTTGGCAAGCAAAACCTTGACCTTATTGGAAGTTTGACAACTTACCAGTGCTTACTAACATGAAACTAAAGGAGGGGGAGGCATGCTGTAATGACCAGGGACTCGGAATACTTAGCATGTGCCTGTCTGCCTCTAGGAATTTGCAAGGCAACTTGAGGCTTTAAAAATATCTTTTTCTCTCCTCCTCTTTTTGCAGGTCCCCAATTCTAGAACACAATGTCGCTAAGAGATGCAGATAAGTACCTTTATGTGGACAAAAACATCATTAATAACCCCCTGACTCAGGCTGACTGGGCAGCTAAGAAGCTGGTATGGGTTCCCTCGGAGAAGAATGGGTTTGAGGCAGCTAGCCTGAAGGAGGAAGTAGGAGATGAGGCCATTGTGGAACTGGCAGAGAATGGGAAGAAAGTGAAAGTAAATAAGGATGACATCCAGAAGATGAACCCCCCCAAATTCTCTAAAGTGGAAGATATGGCAGAGCTGACATGCCTGAATGAGGCTTCTGTGCTTCACAACTTGAAGGAGAGATACTACTCAGGACTGATCTATGTAAGTAATCTTGTCTATTGGGGTAAGAACTTACAGTAATCACTTTGCTTCTAAAATGTGTATGTTAACCTTTCATTGCTCCTATACGCGACTCTCATGTGACTTAGCTTCTTCCCTCTACTTAAAATTTTTTCACTAAACTATGCCAATCCCCCTCTAGTTAATGTTGAAGCTTTCAAGGAATGCTGTGGTAAATCTGTCTTTAACATTTTAATGTCTTCGTTTGCAGGATGTTTTGAATGCCATTTAACTTTCTTTCAGCAAGAAGTGAGAGCAGTTCGAAAGTGGTAAATTGAGTCTGATCTGAACTGAACTAAATAATAATAAAAACACAGTCCTAATATACCTAACATCTGAATTGCTTTTTCCCACGTCTGGAGCTTCAGTGGGAAAGAATGCTAATGCCAAGATTTTTGTGTTACAAAAATTCTGGATCTCGAAGTGTCTTAGTAGAGAAGGCACATATGTGCCTGCATGTGCTTACAGATGGGAAATATTTCCTTTTCTTTCCACCCCAAAATGGACAAAAGCAGAGACTCCTGCTTCTTACTGCTGTGGAAATGACAAAGATACCATTTATGGGACCAACAGTCACACCCAATGAAGCATGCAGCAACTGCTTCACTGAATACCGAAAGCAATAAATAGGGAAAGGTGGGGAAGGAACTTGGAACTTGGAACCTTGGCCTGGTTCTTCAATTCCCTCCTGATTTTTCTCTTCATGAAGAAGAGATATCTGTTTAGCCAGCAGATATTGGTTGTGATAGCCTCTACTTTATTAATACTCTGCAGGCATAGAATGAATGATTAAGCTCAGGGGTAATGTAAAATTTGGGTGCAGTGGCTGGTTAAAACAGGAACTAGTGTTTCTTGGTTGTTTTATTCTCAAACTAGCCTCTGCTTACAGAATTAAAATGGAACTGCCTGAGACGGAATCCTGAGGGATGTAGAAATGCTGGATGTTCAGTATTTTTAGGCACTATGAAATCTTCTTCACAGTAGATTAGAAGATCTATTAAAATAAAATGTATTAAAGAATAAATTTCATATGTAAACGTGTATTAATACAGTCCTTGAAGAAAGTCTGTCTAGATTTTTTTTTCCCTCCCTCTTCTTGTGCTGTCAAAACCCAAAAGCTGCCTTTCATGTCATATGGAGAAGACAAACATAAGTAAAAACTCTCTGCAATATCTATCTGTATGTTTTGGGGTTTTTTTTGAATACTTATTACTTTGTCATACCCAAAGGGATATATAGTCTTTCGTGTAGTCATCTTATGTGGCAAGCTATAGATGATCTCTTCTGTCCTAACAGGGACTGGTGGTATCTAAGACACCACACAGCAGTAATTCACCCTAGCTATCCATCTAGCAGGAATTCACCCTAGCTATCCATCTTGGGTAGAAACCTTTGTGAACTGTTGCCTTCTAAGTTAAGGAGCATGAGCACAAGCTAGAAAGTAGTGGTCACAGCACTAGCACTAGCCTTCTGGAGTGGCACAAAGGCATATAAACAACTGTTGCAGAAATTATTAGGGAACATCTGAAGGATGCAAAGCTGATATAAATTTAGTCTGACTCCCACCTTCTGATGTCAAAATTTTGAGACCTAATGTTGTTGGAGGTTGATGCAGTTAAATACTCTGTGTAGTCAACTCCTTTGACTATTGGTCAAAATCTATTCTCAGAGGGAAGAATCTTGGTATTGAGATGAAATAGGATGTGCAAGATCATGTGTAACATTTTTAGAACAGGAAACATTGCTGGGTTATGTAATAAGTTGTTGAAAATAATTCAACAGCATCTCAGTTTGTTGCACACTATGCAATGGGCTGTTTCACATCTCTTGCAAGATATCCTCTGAAATTTCAGACATAGTCTGTGACTGTAATAAATTGAGTTCTTCTAATTGGTTTGTAAGAAGTATAAAAAAATCCCCATGTCCTTCACCCAAGGAAACCTAGCATAGTAATGCTCTATTACAGAATCTTAGTCTTGCCAAAACCGTGTTTCTGTGCACTTGTGAAATGGACTGATCTCACCTGTCAGCAGTTCTCAGCAAGTCAGGAGATTAATGCAAAGGCTTAAAATACTTTCATTGGAGTGGCTGTTAGTTGATCATTAATCCTCTTGAAGAAAGAGAATACAAGCAATGTATCTCTAGCATAAATGTCTCTGGAAAGATCATAAGCGTAATTTAGTTCTGCTCTTGTCCTTTCTCTCTTCTTTGCCAGCAGGGCTGTGTGTTTTTGTGGCTTTTTTGTTTTCTTTTTTTTTTAACTTTTTTTTTTCTGTCTACCCATTCTATAAAAGGAAGGGGGAAATCTTATGGCTGGTGCAGACAAATTTTGAGCAGGGAGTGTCAGACATTTCAAGAACTAAGAGCTTAAGTCTAACACCAATTTGCTGTTTTCATGTGCTGATTGGTTCTGCACTGAGGTGACTGGCTTTCATATTAACCCTTTCTATTCGGAATGCTTTATCAGAAGATCATTTTCAATTTCTGTGGTTTTTTTTTTTTTAAATTTCCTGAACTGCCTTGTTTATATTCAGTGTGAAACTCAAAACTCAACCTTAATGTTCCAGTTAGTTCACTGAAGTTAACAGTTGCTGGAAAATAAACTTTCTGATGCTGTCAGTTTTGTGCCATGCTGCAGATGGTCCTTTCAGCTCTTCAGAGCTAGTTTAGCAGTTAGAAGAATAAAACTAGTTTCCGTTTGGCCCATGTGTGACTTGAAATTGTTAGCAAAAGGTAATGCCAGAATTCTATTTTGAGATAGTAACGTCTGAAACAAAGTGCAGATTTCCAAGCCAGCTATGCTTATAATAGATTAGCCTTTCAGTTGGAGCCTTGGGTTCAATTCAGGGATTTATGCATATAAGTCTTTACTTGTACTTTAATAAGATGAAAATGACTCGTCTTCTCTGTGTTAGGGCTGACAGCTTCTACTCAATATAATTCAACTTGCTTCCTATATAAAACTCTGTCAGTGTGCTTGACCAGTAGTTGTGACATGGTGGTCTCACTCAGTTGCCTGTCCCAGCCATGATTAGTTACCTGTCTTTATTGGACAAAAATATCACCTCACACATCTGTCTGAGATCATTATACTGCAAGGAAACTTCCCTTCGGTATTTCTCCTGGCAACCATAATGCTGGAAGAAGGTGATGACTCTTCCTGCATACCTGCTTCATGGCTTCATCACTCTAATTGAAATTAATGTCTTCCTTTTCTAAACTGCTGCTCTCCTCTGTAAGGCTGCTTCAGTCCAGCTTCAGACCTTTACACTATTATTACTTGAAAAGCGACAATTCCAATTTGTCAGCAAACATGGCCATAAAGTCACACAAATACAGACAAGAAAACTTTACATTCCTTGTGGAATATTGCTACAGTACTTGCTACCACTTTTTTTTTTTTCTCTCACTTCTAATCCCCCCCCAAAGCAGCAAACAGGTATTTAGCATTTTTAACATCTTCAAAGGTTCAGTCTGTGGCATGAGTTACAGTTTTGTTGTGGGGGGGAACAGGGACTACATAGGGCATCTTCTTTTGATTACTACATGCATGTTGCTTGCTGCCATGGGATTTGAGGCAAGATGGTTGCTAATGCAGACAGCTGGAACTGGCAGCCTAGAGGGTTTTTGTTTACTTGTTTTTCAGAACTCTGATAGAGTTACAGCTTTTCTTCTAACAGTTCAGTTGACTCCAATGTCAATTATTTCCATGCCAGTATAAGGAGAAGGTGTATTGTATGTACTGTGAACATGCTACTCTTGAGTCAACTCCTTTCTACCTCTTGGTTCTACTCTGTCTTCCACTAGTGTAGTGAAAGGTCAGGAAAGCATGACCCAGTCTTTCAGCTGCTATTCTGTGCTCTACAAGTACTGTCTGACATGATGGAGAACTAAGGCTGACACAAAAGGAACTAGCATTGCCAAGTTGGTTTCTGCAAACTCCTTAAACTGTTCCTTTCAAGTACTACCTCAAACCTAACCTGGCTAGAATGTCTCACTGAAGTTTAGCTTCCTGGAACTTTAGAAGTCCTGCACTAAAAGATTTTTAGCCAACTTTCATAGTTTCCCACTTTGGAAAGAGATTTAGTGTTTTCTGTAAGCTATTCAAATATTCCTTGAATATTTAAAAAAAAAAAAAAGTAGGTCTGGAAACATTTCCTGATAGTTTATACTGGAGTATGGAAAAGGAACCTTAAATACCTATAAAAATTTTGCTTTCTGGGGGACATAAGGTGAAAGTTGTATCTGAATCTGCTGCACGTAGGAGTGGGCTAATTACTTAATGTTAAGCCAGCATGTAGAAAATTTGGATAGAAGACTGTAAATTGTGTAGTAGATGCTATTTTCACCCTTCTGATTACTGTAGTCTAATCCTTACCTTTATCTAGCTAAAGAGGCTAAATCTGATTAAGTACTCTCTGCTCTCATTGTGGAGAACTCTTTACCACTCCGAAGCACTCTTCATTGAGCAAACAATGGAAGAGATGGTAGCAATAGAAATAGGTGCTAAATGTAGTCTCTTCTGGTAGCACTACAAGTTGCTGTAGAAAGCTACTCCTCTCCAGATGTTTCAAACAGCTGCCTCTAAAATTGACAGGGAACTAGGGTAGCTCTAAACCCCAGGAGCAAGGCTTGGAATGCTATTCTTAGAATATCTAGGAAATATCTAAGAAGCTTCTGCTCCTCCTATTCCCTTTGCAAGTAAAATGTTTGTTAGGGTTTTTTTAGGTATTCAGATCTCAAAGATTTTTCTTTTTTCTTTTAAGAAGCTTAATATTTTCGCCAGAAGTATTTTGACAGTTGTCTTCCGTTAGAACTGTAGAATTTAAGCCAGTGGAAACCAACTGAGAAATCGAGGTTTGCTGTCACATATCAATGAATTAACCATTTGAGATGAATTAGGAGTAAACTTTGGCAAATGTTGCCGACTCTGAGCATAGAATACTTTAGAATTGTTTTCTATATTGACTAGTTCAGAACTATACTGCATTAATGACCTTATAGTTTTAAATCTAGTTCTAGTTATACTCATTACATTATAAATCATTAAAGTGTTCAGGCTGGAAGGGTCTTTAGGAGGCCATCTAATCCAACTTCCTGTTCAGAGCAGGGTTGGCACTGAATTCAGCCTAGTCCAGTGGCCTTGAAAACCTGCAAGGAGTACACTGGTCGTCTTTTTCTTTTAGTAACTATTTTGGTTTGAAGTTTTATTGCGTTGTAGTTGATTGATTACTGGATAAATCCATAGCAAGCATGAGGCAGAACATAATAAAATGCATGTTTCTAGGAGCTGAGCACCTACCTTATATAATGAAATGGACACTTGACTTGAATATAGGAGCTTTGAAAGGAAGAAAAGCCAGTCCTAGTGGACTATTAATTAGACAGGGAGCAGGCCAGTTTGATACCAGTGTGACTAATGTGTCAGTTGATGCTCTGTGCATACTTGGAAAGGTTGAGTACTAGTCAAGTTGATATGACTTTAGCTGTTGCTCAGATTCTCATATTGCTTGGTGGGAAGCATCCCACGTGGCATCACTGGAAGAAGCATTTAAAAAAGGACTGGTTTGTTTGTTTTTCCAAGTAATATACTGTTAAAACGTGTAAGTATATAACATTTTTAATTCCTGTCTTTTATTTGCTGGGGCGTTTTCTTTCCAGACCTACTCAGGCCTGTTCTGCGTGGTAATCAATCCTTACAAGAACCTGCCCATATACTCAGAAGAAATAGTGGAGATGTACAAAGGCAAAAAGAGACATGAGATGCCCCCTCATATCTATGCCATCACAGACACAGCCTACAGGAGTATGATGCAAGGTGAGTGCTGAGATAATGACTCTTGCTGAAATCACAAATCAAGGTTGCAGTCCTAGGAGAACAACAGCTCACTGCTACCAAAAGGCTTTGTTGCCCCCTCTGTCCTTGCTTACAGACACCTGACACCTACTTGGTACTAGCTTTTGTGTTCAAGTGAATAGCTTTCTCCTGCTCTAGTGGATTGAAGAACCTTACAAAGAGTCTGGCAAGAGCTAAACATGACATAAAGAACAGACCGGTGTGAATGCACAGGGTTCAGAGAAGCAGGCAAGGAGAACTGAGGTAGCGAACTTTCCATCTCAGTGATGAGCCTATGGAATGATAGCTGTAGGTGGGCAAGTATGCGTATTGGTTGATGGAGGCTTTTAACAAAAGTATTTAAAATCCAGTCATACAGTCCAGCTGGGTGAAACAAGCTTAGTATCACCTGCATTTTGAAGTGTGATGGTCAGTGGTAGTTTTACTGATAAGGAGTTGTTTGGTTACATTCTTACTCTGTTAAGAATAAAACTTACTATCAGGCAATATTAAATGCATCTGTTGGCTTTTCATAGAATAAAAGAAAGCAAGCAGATTGACCTATTTTTTTTTCCCCCCGTGTATACAAATGAGAAGTAAAGAACCATATATATTATCTGCCGCTTGTTTGTCACTTGAGGACTCTTAAATATGGAGCTCAGAATGTCCTGTGCATATTCCCCCTTCTGAGAAGAGGTCTTTCACAGCGTCAGTGCTTGTGTTTGGGATGCTTGGAGAGTGTTTGGGTATGGAGGTATCTTGTGCCTTTCTTCCTGTTTGTAGCTGGGTTATATGAAGAGGCATGCTTTGTAAGGTTTAAAGGGTATAATGGAGAGTTTGATTTGGTGTGGCTTGTATGAATTTGATTACTCCTTCATTTTTTGGTGACTAGCAATGATTAAGGTGTTTGTCTCTCCTAGGTCTTGTCATTAGCCTTATTATTTTTGAACAAAGGCTAGATATAATAAAATCATGCTTTAAAATTCTAATTAGACTCAGTTTTAAAGAGCTCTGCTTTTCCCCTGCCCTCACTACCACTTGCATCTCCAAGCATAGGGGGACTATAACAATATGGTTGCCCAGAGTGGAAAGGGAGCAAGAAAAACTCCTTCCACTTACCTGCGTTAGTGGCTTTAAACAAATTTTACGTGTGGAGAATGCTGAAAAAGGTTGCTGAAGTGTGGTGCCATGCAGAGCACATGGGAGAGCTAACATGATGGATGCTATGGATGTTTAAGGTATATTTGTAAAAGCCTTGGGTGGGGAGGAGTGAGCCATACAGACATGCTGCAGCGGACTGGTGGCAGGGTACTGGTGTCAATTTGTTGAAAATACGGCAGTTCTTGAAGAAATATAGCTATACTATTGATGTGTTACTCTGAAAGGAATGCTCTATCCAGAGGAAAAAACCTGTGAACCTGGACCTATATAGGACCTCACTTCCCTGAGACAAGGACTGGATCTGCCATGAAGGACAAGGACAGATGCACCACCTATACTATACGTGGCAGCATGGTTGTCCGTAAACCTCTTATCACTGTTTCGCTTCCTTTATTACTTCCTTTTCCCCCTTGCCCACTCCTTGTCAGCTCAAGTACCAACATATATTTTTCTTAAACAAGCTATTGACTTAATCCTACCAGAGTTACTGTTGCCTAAAAAGAAATCTTTTCTATGTAGAATCAAAAACAGTTTCTTTGGCATTGTTGTAAGGAGACTGAAGAAGTCCTTTTCTCTCTATAGACAACAGTTAAACCATTTGGAACTGCACGTGCATGCATCTTGTCCTTCATCCCTGCCAGATAGATCAGTATGTGGCATGGATATCCAGACAGCTGCAATTCTGCAACAAGGGACAGGTGACCTTCCCTGGTCTGATGGAGGTTCAGAGCTAGTGATTAATCTATACGGATATTTTCTTTCCTTTGAAAAGAGAAGGTGTCTGTCATACCACTGCTTGAGTGATGTCTAAAACTCAGAAATCCCAGTCCTGAATTGCTTTGGTGTACAAAGCTAAAGAATGCCAGCCCTGCCTCTGTTTTCCTAGCACGGGAAAGTTGCTATGAGCTCTGCTGGAGTGTTTACCTTTCCCAGAACAATTCTAGCTATGCAATATTCTCAGCAGCATTGACAGTCTAGAGGTTTACCCCAGCTCTTCTTTGCCTGGTTTGAGATATCTTTATTGCTGACTTCTTGGAACACTTGCTGGATGTGAATATCATTCCCAGCTGAGCTTTTGAACTAGCCTGCTTTGACCTGTTTAGCTAGGTTTGGAAAGATTTTTGTGTATCTTGCTTCACGTGTACGTATGTGTGCTAGCAAGAACCCTAGAGATCGTTTTAGTGTTATTTGCTGCCTTATTTCTTTATTGCAAAGGGTAACAGTAGCATTCCAATGTCTGCTACTGGGATTGAAGGTGAGTAGGTTGTTGCAGTGTCTCTGGTCCTGGCTAGCCTCTAGGGCAATGAAAAGCCACATTCCTATTCCACTTTCTCAGTTTTGCTTAGCAGTGGGGGAGGCTTGGTGCAGCAGCCAGTGGTATGGCAGGAATCTGTACAGAGAATAGAAGATGAAAGGGTCCGGGGCTCCACATGAGCTGGAGGCATTTAGGCTGCCTTCCCTAGGTTACTTTCGGAGCCCTGAAGGCCGGGAATCCTTCACGGTCTGGAGAAGGATAGCAGGCTGTTGACTCTGACTTCTGTCAGCATGGGGTATAGTTATCTCTTAAGCTGACAGAGTGGAAAAGCCTTGCATGTTAATTGATTTGGACTCAAATTTGAATTTTTTTTTGGTTTTCAGTCAATTTATGCTATTCTAATAAGCAGGCCATTCAAAGGGACGTTTGTCAGGAAAGGAATTGGGAAGGGAGAGGACGATGAGAGCTTTATTCCAACCTCTGCTAATCCAGAAACTGTTTAACCCTTTTCAGGCACCTATGCTGATGCACTGTGGGTAAGCGTGGTCCTCTTTTTGTGTCTACCGTGGTTACTCCATTCACAAAAGTGTCCTGTGGCATTGTGGTGGTCTTGGCTGGGATAGAGTTAATTTTCCTCATAGTAGCTAGTATGGGGCTGAGTTTTGGATTTGTGCTAGAAACAGTGTTGATGATGTTGTCCTTACTGGTGAGCAGTGTTTACAGAGCGAAGGCCTTTTCTGCTTCTCACCCCACCCCATCAGTGAGTGGGCCGGGGGTGCACAAGAAGTTGGGAGGGGACACAGCTGGGACAGCTGACCCCAGCTGACCAAAGGGATATCCCATACCATATGACGTCATGCTCAGCATATAAAGCTGGGGGAAGAAGAAGGAAGGCGGGGGGATGTTCAGTGTGATGGCGTTTGTCTTCCCAAGTAACCATTTGGTGTGATGGAGCCCTGCTTTGCTGGAGATGGCTGAACACCTGCCTGCCGATGGGAAGCAGTGAATGAATTCCTTGTTTTGCTTTGCTTGTGTGCGCGGCTTTTGCTTTACCTATTAAACTGCCTTTTTCTCAACCCATGAGTTTTCTCACTTTTACTCTTCTGATTCTCTCCCCCATCCCATCGGTGGGGGGGAGGGTGAGCGAGTGGCTGTGTAGTGCTTAGTTGCTGGCTGGGATTAAACCACGGCAGGCATTTATATATTCCAAGAGGTTAAATTGCTTTTTGTTAAATTTCACCAGAAGTACTTCCTTGAAGCAATAACATGATGGAGAATGTGTTCAAAGTGATTTTTTTTTTTTCCTCCTTTTTCTGACCCAAGTCATTAGTGTTTTTGTCTCATTTCTGAGTCTTATTTTGCTGCATGGTACTTGGAGAGACTTCCTGTGCTGCAAGAGCAGAACTCTCAAAAAAGTGTAACATTTTTGTTTTCGGAGAAAACAACCATTTGTCTTAATGTTTCTGTTCCCTGGGTAACCTGGATGCCAGAAGCCTCAGGTAGGACTGCTTTCGGAAGAATTATTCTTCTGGCGCTGATGATTGAAGCATAGTGCCTGCAAGTGGAGCAGTGTCTTGAGCAAACAAATCATTATTCTAATGCAGCAGATGTACACTGAAGGGGTACATTCTTTACCTCAATTCATAGTCTCCAGGGGATCTATTTAGAAAAACATATATTAAAGCTGTTAAACAGCACCTGTTTGTGTATTTGGAACACATCCAGGGAATCTTCTGTGTCAAATACTGATAGAAGCTAAAATTTCATTGATGTCTGGAGCATGATGGCTGTTTTAATGCCAGTGTCTGAAGATTCTGTGATAGGTTAGATGGGTATGGTTACACCGGTCTCCAAAGCTCAACCTGCTCAACTAAGAGATAGGTAGGAGAGGGAATAGACAGCACATTGCTAATGAAGGTACTCCATCTCCTTTCTCATCCAGTTTCTCCACATATTAGTGTAGTGCTCCTAACGCTTCACTGAACAAAACTCTTCAAGTCATTGTGCAGTGATTAAACCCTCCTTGACCTTGATGGATTAGTCTGCAAAGGAGACTGTGCAGCCAGCACCTTGCTGGTATTCACTTGGGAGTTAGGTAGTCTCTGGGCTTGGTGTTTAAAAGAAAAAATTCTGAAGCATATTAACTTCATGATTTTTATTGTCCTTGTTACATTAAGGGAGGAAACAGTGTTAGCTATTGTAAGACAAATCACTTGCTGTTGTAGATCTTCACGTGTACCTCAGGCCCAGTTGTCATTTTCACAAGAAACAGTCCTCTAGATCTGCTTCTATAGAACATGACCTTGAAGTATTTTATTTGTAATTCTTGGATGTTTACATATTTCTTAAGTTTCTGACCTAGTAGAACACTTCTATTTTAACTTCCTTGGTCTCAAAGTCTTCTTTCTCAGCTTGCTTCTTAGCATTGGTCTGCTATGCTGCACAGTATATTGCACTGTCCCAAAGTGCATCTTTATTTTCTATAGACTATTCTGTGTGTGTTTACTAATTCAGGGATACTTGATTGACAGAGCTGTTCAGATTATGTAGAGGCACAGATGTCTCT